ATATATAATATATGCGATGTAATATTTTATAGTAAAGAAAATTCCACGTTTGTTCTACATACTCATTACGTCCGTGATTTCGCGTCAGACATTAATACGTAGCTTTAATGACTACCGTAACGGGAATACCAGATGTACCTAAGGTCAACCATGCAACGGGAGCACGCGTGAATATGGTATAATGACACGACATGTACCGCATACTTGCAAATTATACCCAGTATTACCGCCGTACGAAAAAAAAAAAGAACGAAAAGACGAGGAAGATACGGATTTACAAAGTCATAGTTGGCTAAAAAGAGATATCGCATTTGTTTGTTTTTTTTTTTCATTTCGAGGTAACTTGGATATGATTCTTGGGACAAACTCAGCCTGCGCAAGTAAATCAAAGTCAGAAGTTAAAATTGAAGTGTGTATGTGTGTATGTATGTGTACGTGCGCTCGTGCGTTGGTATGTGTGGAGCTCTTAAATCTTTTCCTCACATTTTTAACCTTTTGCTCTCCATTTTGTATTTCGGTTGCACGGCCGTATTATCATTAGTTAAACTTAACCGATCTATTCTATTCTTTTCTAGTTTTATCTTCAAAATAGGAGTCTCGATTAATTTGAATTAATATTTCACGTGCGCGAGAATAATCGATAGACAGATAAAATATTCGCGTCGTGAATTATTTCGCAGTTATTTGCACTTTCTCGTTCATTGGTCGAGTTGTTGCGCAGAGTTGAATTAAACTTGCAGGTTTATCCTGTAGCTGCATAGACCCCGACAAAGCGATCAGGCAAGCGTATATTCGACTAGTCCCATAGAGTAGCCAAAGTTAAAGCCGGAGCGCTTGCTCCATCAGAACACGATGCAAAGATGTTTTAATCTGTGTGAACCATTACGCTGGCAAAAAAAAACTTAACATTCAATTTTCATGGGATTTGTTTAAGTATTGATTACCGTACTATCGGGGTTTTTATTGCAATTGAGAAGATCATATATTATATTATAAGAATAGAGTAAGTCTATAATTTATACGAATTACTGTAAGAGAGTCGTATATAAAGTAAACTTTCTGTAAATTATGAATTTATTTTAATATGATTCTGCATTCTTTATTGGTTATTTATATATTTATAATTATTTATATATTACATAATTTTATCAATCTTCTTCCATCTCCTATATTGCAAAAATATATTTAGCACGAATATTCATTTAAAATATAATTAAGTGAGTATATTTTTGTGTGTGTTTTGTATCACATCTAACAGAAAGAGAATTATTAGTTTGCTATTTTACTTTTATTAAACGATGCTAGTACAATTATATAAACTTGACGCAGCATATCATTGACTTTTCATTTCTTGCATAATAACAAGGATCATGTCTGAATATGCGAGAGAGAAGTCGGACATCTCGATATAGCACCTTTAAACGCACCGCACCACGCGTTTTGTCCATTGTTCATACCTCGGGAGAGGGGATTTTTATTCTTTTTTTATCCTTTTCATCGATACAGATCAGGTTTCTCGAAATACGTGTACGCTATTCATGACACGACGACGATTTCCAATTTTTCTTTCCCAAAATTCTCGATATTATTTATAGCACAAATAGTGACAAATAAAACCATTTCTTTTTTCGCAGAAATACCACTCTGTGTGTTTTTTGAAGATTTTATTGCATTCGATAGAACGGAAGGTATGAATATTTCATGTCACCCATTTCACCTAAACAGAGGCGAATTTTATTTCATTTTTCTCGATAACATGGTGGAAATGCTCGCTGTCGCTTACATGATGATATACATATATGTATTCTTTCAAAGCCACTGAAAGTAGAAACGAACGGCAGCTTATCCCAAATCCCAGTCCTATAAGGGCAGATGTCTGAAAAGGGAAGGACAGAAACCAGATCGAATCCATTCCTTAAATGTGTATCCTGCCTCACCTATACACGTCCAAAGTCCAATATTCCCTTCGGCAAATCAACGTCGTTAAACGATAACATGCGGCTATCGATATCGCGGGACGTGTTGAACACGTCGGCCGCCTCTCGGTTATTATGTCGAACCCTCGTTTGTTGGGATTAAGTTTTTGGGAAAAGCAAAAAATATGTGTGTATGTAAGCGGTGTCAAGGAGACAGATTTAATTCAGATAGAAGATTCAATTCGAATCAACTCGATCGCGAACTTGACGCACGTGCGTGTCAACGTGAGATTGCGAAACTCGGAAAAATTAGAGCTTATTGTTAGCCCATTGTCACGCACGTGGCATTCATTCATCGAAAATTTAACGCACTATATATCGCGATTATTTATACTACATATCTTAGTTTGATATATTGATATCGCCACACGTCTGTAACAAAAGATTCAGGGTTCAATTTATTCGACTCTGAAATACATATTGTAAGATTTCATGCTCTCATCTGTTGTACTCACTAGTATTATGTGTTTCTAAATAAGTAAAAAGTCAAATGTATCTTTTTGACAAATACGTTAGGCGTGTAGAGTTTCCCTGAGAGGTAGTAGATAGGTAAAATTCCCTACAAATTATATTATGATTTAAATATATATATATATCGTTTAGATTAATGCTAATAAATATATGTTTTGTTATTATCATTATAATATAAAATAATTCAATATTCATGTACTTTTCATATATATCTTTTTTCTATAGATAATACGTTTACTTTTTCTAGTTTTAGATAGAAATTGAAAAACTGCTAAGTAACTAATTAAGAAAGTACAATTTTAAATGAATAGCTTCCCAGTGATATAAAGGCTTTTAATGAAGTGCCTCAACATAAAAGAAATGAATGGGAATCAAGCTTTTGTTGGGGAAAGTACAAAGTTAATAAGATACTTAATACCCTATTCACAATCGTCTCGCTACTTTTGTAAGACTTCTCTGAGGATACAAACTCTTAAAGTTTCAGGCTCACATATTCTGAAAACAACTTGCGAAGCATTTATTACTTTGTAAATTGTCTCACGTAACACTGAAAAAATTTTGTGCATTTATTTTGCCATACAATTTTACAATTCGTTCTCTCTTAAACTAAACAATTTTTCAATTCCATTAAAATTCGTGTGCAATATCCACATATCAAAAAATAAAAAAATATACACATAAAAAAACCAATTAAGAGAAGGATCCTTTTAATTGTTTTAATTATAGGACGACATTATAATTCTATATTGTAAGTTTTGAGCTTCTACAAATTGTTTTTAAACATGATTGCAAGATTAAACTCGCTACATAATATCATAATTGGAATAAATTTTATTTTGATATACAGTAGATATGCTTTTATACTTATAATTGAATCAATCTTTGCTGAAAGGGCATAAGTCAACATCAGAAATGAATTTCATCATGGCAACTGAATTGTTAAAATAATCTTTGAATTTCAATCAAGAGGTTTTCAAGTCAGTCAGTTAAAATATACATCTGTGCAGCTATTTAAAAACCATTTTTGAAGAAAAATATCTATATAATATAATTAATAATTACAAGAGAATATTTTTTTATCATTGACAAAATATTTTACAATAGTTACATTTAAAAAATTTTTATCTTGAGATGTAATACATTTACAACAAGAATTTACACACACACATTACTGTCGTAGCTTTAATATAGTACAAACATATAAATTCGAAAAATAAAGAGAAAATTTCGTAAATAATGAGAGCATGAAGAAAGCTAGACAACTTGTATTGGAAGATACGACACTGAAAAATGTGGTCCATTCATCTCGAATAAGGCTCAATACCTTGTTTTATCACGGCCAAAACAAGGAAGAAAAATCAATGCGGAAAAGTAAGTTTTCATTGATATATGTATTCGTTAAGAAACGTCGTAAAGAAACCATAAATCAACTATACGAGAAAAAGATATAAAGAATATTTCTTGAATAAAATCAGTCTCGCGTTGTAATACTAATATTAATCATATCTAGTTCTTGTACATTGTTTATCTTACAATTCTCGTAGAACATGTAATGATTTTTTTGTGTCTTATTTTCTCCACGGCATATAAGCGCGCTATTGTTTACATTCGCGGTTGTCTTGTCATTCGCGCGACGAGGCTCGAGCGGAAAGGTACGCGATGCTAATTATAAGCACTCCGTGAATCGTTATTCTTCGAGAAATCGCGATCGCGATAAATATCATGTAATACATTAAAAACTTGTAATCGTTTCGTACGATTATTATAGCAATTAACGGTCTTCGCGATTAACTAATTTTAATACGAGCGATTTGTAAACGTAAAGGTGGCGATTATATATTAAAGATTATTTATTTCACACGATATATATGTATATTCATTCGAAATAAAATTCGAAGCCCGATACGGGAATCATAAATTACTTTATTCCTGTTAAGATAATTATTTGTTCAATACTTGGATTTAAACTTATCTGTCATCGCGCTTTAAAACTTTCGCCGATCTAAATGTAACTTGCCAATTACACGATCGGATTGAAAGCGGACTATAATGAATTTTATATTGACCGATGAATCGTTGGATCGAGAGATTGAAATAATAAAAAATCGTGATGTGTTAATCGTTTATTAATATTAATTTAAAATTTTCAAAGAACAGAATATTCCATGTTGACAGGACATTCCAAAGGAATTTCCATTAGCAAGAATAACATAATTTTTTATCTTTTTGTAACTAACTAATTTTCTTTGTATACGTTTTGCTTATTTCTATTATAATTTTTAACTAAAAAGAACTCAAGGAAGGATCGAAACATTTTTAAGTGACTAGAGTGGATTATTCTTCTCATAATTATTATTCTCATTATTTTTTAATTTATACAGCGACAATGGCGTATTTAACTATCTTCAAAGCCTACATTATTACAATATTCCGAATTTTGTTTATAGTATAATAAATATTTTCTTTGAGAGAGGGAAGGAGAAGCGCGTATATGTATACATATACATACACATATAGCGAGCGCTACTGTTTACACGCGATCACCTTGTTGTCATTCGCACGACGGGAGTCGGGGAGCAAGCAGGTAATAGTGCGAGTCGTTTCGAGTGTGTCGTTCCATTATTTCTCGAAATACGATCGACAAGTATTGGAAATTGTTAAACGCGAACTCGGTGTTCTCACGAACACTACACACACGCACATCAATTAAAAGTTATATTCGTGCGATTAATTAATTGATGATTCATAAGATTACCGTAGAAATAGTTATTTATCTCAAAGGAGAGATATAATTATTTGAAAGAGAAATTTATGCGACAAGTAGTAATTATAAATTGTTTCATATTTTTACGGGCGTGATAATATTATATCAAATATATTTGAAATTGACTATATTTTGTATCAAGTTTAAAATTTTTCACCTATTTAAAAATAATACGCTCGTCATTTTTATCGGATTAAAAGAGCGGATTATCAGATCGAGTAATACAAGTAATAAAAAAATACGATACATAAACATTTGATAATAATACGTATATTTCACGAGATATGTTCGCGTATTTTCGCATGATTTATTCGATCGAAATCTATCATGCGAGTAATCAATAAAGAGATGACATATTTTTGAATATTAACGTTCTCTATAGAGTTTTAATTCTAACTTATATTTACATTTGTTATAATACAAAATAATAATCGTCCTAAAACGAGAGCGTATGCTACTTGTTAGCAACAAATGTAGCGTTTCATCGACGATTAACGCGTGAATTTGATCGCACGATTTTGGAGTGCTGAGCAAATCATATAGCTTCGTACGATCAGAATTTATGTGCATTGTTCTCCTATTGCAATATAATAAATCGTACGTGATCAACGTCGGGAATGTCGTGCAAAATGCCGCGCGGACATCGTATTCCACTGATTAGAGCACGATCTTGTAATTAAATGTGTTTTTGCGAGTGAGTGTCATATGAGTGTTACGAAGAAATAGCAGAGCAATAACCCAGAAAGGAATGAGGCAACGATGGAGCAACTGTGTGAGGTGAGCGCTTTATATAATAATTTATTTATTTTTTATTTACTTAAAAATAATTGCTCGGTATCTCCGCGATATCCAGTTTATACATTATTATGTAATATATTATTGCATATGTAAAATATATTTTAAATTTTTTTACGTGAAAATATTCAATACGTAACATTCGTTCTCTCTTTTTCTCTCTCTTTCGTATTGTCTATTTAAAGAACATATTCGTATTCTCTTTCGTATTGTCTATTTAAAGAACATAAAAAATTTAATCGCGCGCAATAATTATTTTCTGATATATTAATTATTTTAAATACACTGCTTTTTTATATAATTTAAATATATGTACCAATGAGTTAAATTAATTTTTATTTTAATCTCGAAGTAATGAATTTAATTGGATAAAAAAGTGTCTTACTTTACTGTCTATTTTATGCTAAAATAAAAACAAATAAAAAAGAATAATATATATTTCGTGCATTAAAACATGGCTGACAATGACAATATGTGTGTGTGTATTTGTGTGTGTTTTGTCGTATCCTCAGCAGAATTGTTCACACCCCCTAGAAAGACTCCTATATGAAGTGTAAGAAACATACACATATACATAGCATCCGCTGGATGACAACGTATTTTTCCATCAAGGGAACGTAATCTCTGAGACTTCGTTGGCAAAATAAATTCAAACAATTTCTCATACTGATATATATGTGTATACGTGTATGTATATGAGAGGAAAATAAAGTTTAACAAAGTCGCGTGTACATAAGACTTGGATTTTTAAATAGCAGACGCACGTGTCCTATTATATAGCCTTTAAAGTAGATCTTCCATACAGATATAGTTTCACAAATATTAATCAATCGATTAGATTTACAATAAAAAAATAAAATAAAATAAAATTGCATACTTTGGTATATTTTGATTCTATTTCTCTCTCTCTCTCTTTTTCTATCTTCCTACGTTTTATCTTTAAAAACAATTAAAATAAAAAAACATTGATTTAAAAAAATATTTATATACATCTACACATATACGAATTTCGTGAGCGTAATTTGAGAGAAAATATGAATATTTGTATTTATTTAACACAATATTTTTTTTAAACGTAAATTTCGATGGACAAGTTGCATTCTGATTATATTTTGATATTGCATACATACTTGCGCGAGATCTATATAAATTGTAATTAACTAATCGTTCGTTAGCCATAATTTTCTGACTTTGTGTCAAAGCGCCTTTGAATTACTGCGACAAAGCATGAATGTAGCCTTTGATGTGCAAAAACGTCAGCTCCAATTTTACGCGCCACGAATATATTCCCATCTATCCCTGTGTCTCTATCGCCTGGTGCCGATATAATTCAGAATCAAGAGAGCTATATACGGACGCGCAGATCGATAGAGTGTTCGTAAAGATTCATTCGGAAATGTTCGGGTGAGATAATCACGGATAATCGATATGATTTCGTAATGCTTTCAATTTCGCGAAGTCGAAATCGCGCGATTTCGTTTATTTCATTCCGACGAGTTCTCCCGTGACGAGTGTTTCGATGCGCTCCATTATCCGCTTTGCCGATTAAATGGCGTATCAATTTCCTGTCTTGAGCACGTTAAATAGTAGAACTTGTCTGGATATCGAGAGAACGAAATAGTTCGCTACTCTACCTTCATTACACAAGTTTTAATCAATTTGCCGAGCGTGCCTATTCGTTCCGGTACTTTTCGCGTAATCTAAGGGTGTGCGTAGAAGTTACCGTGTCAAAAGTTAACATAAAATTGTCCTCGATCTCTCTCATTTCATGTAGCTTCGGTATCCAAAGTGGTACACGTCGTCGAGAATGAATTTATACACCGACGCATCTACATCTTGTTTATTCATTAGATACTCCGTCAGACAAATATCGAATTCCCGGCTTCCGGTGGAGTATATATACTTTGCCAACTTAATAATTCCATTCGCATCTTAGTTCCCGAAACTTTGTTGTGACGCGAACAAATTTCGTTTCTCTACGCATTTGAACTTCCAGAATTGCATTCGTGTGAAATTCTACATAAATTTGCAATTTTGCTCATATAAATTTTTCGGTTATACAAATTAAATTCATTTACAAATTATAATATGCATTGACAATTAAAATATATGCATAATTCAAAATAAGTTTATGTCAATCCGGTGTTATATAGATCGCGCAATTTTCATTTTATAACGGTTATTTATAGCTTGAACTCATTTTAATTAAACGGCCACATAGATAGTGATGTACATATATATGTATATGTAATAATTTCCACGTGTAGATAATAATAACGGAGATCGTATTCAAATAGCGATAACGTCTAAACAGATTAAGAAAAGCATGCAGACGTTCTAGAAGCGTAAATATATAATCGTGCTTAATATCCAATACGCTGTAACGATAACACACACCTATTAGTAGAATTCCAATAAATTATATAGCAAATCAGCGATAATTGGAAAATACAAGAATAAAATCTTAATTAATTTATATGCATTGGCATGCGCCAACAAACCAAGCTTGTTTTGTGCTTGCACATAGACATACAACATTAATAAAAATTTATAAGATATACAGAAAAAAATATATATAGGAAAAGGATAAAAGTGGATCTCCAGTATAAAATTCTTTCCAATAAATCTGCAATAAAAATATTAGATTTGAAAAGAATTTATTCGTTAATAAACGTAGAATTTAATTATCGCGTCTAATAAACTTGGCAATAAACATCTTTTACAAAGTCCAATCGAGCTTTTGAAGCAAATGCAATTAAGACATTCGAGAGTTGAAATGAGAATTCAAAACGCGGACGATGGGAACAATAGCCTTCTTGTGTGTATTCGTTTAATCGCATATCTTTCTTCTCGTAAAACAATTATTATTTATTATTCTCGAAAAAATCATCGATGCCTAAAACGAGAACGTAATATCGAGGTTACATCTTCGATAAAAAAAAAAAAAAAAAAAAA